GACTACGACTACGACTACTACTACGTACACTCACAGACTTGCTGTTATCATAATTGTCGTTGTTATCACGTTTTTACTGTTATTACGATTGTCAACTTATGCAAACACAATTATCAGCTTGTAGCGAAGTCAGGGTTTGGAATCTATTTGGGATCAGGATGTAGGCTTTCCCGGCTGCTAACTACACAACAAGATACTTGAATGGAAACAAGACTGGTCGGGAACATCATAACAAACGTTTGGTTCACGTCGCAAAACGGTGAATAGCAACACGACTACGTGTGTAAGCTGCACAAGCAAATCCAGAGTAAGTTGTGCGACAAACCGTGAAGCGGGTCAACAACCGGTCCAGAAAAAGCTCTTCGATGGGGTAGTTGGTCTTGCCCGGAATGCTCACCGTCCTGATGCCTGGTTAGAGTGGCATCGGGCTATTGTTGACAACAGAAAACGCTGCCTCCGTACACCACGGATCTATACCGGGGCCTTTCACAGCCTGATGTAACACCATTGCAAACCAAAGCAGTAAACCGCTGTGACAGGAGAGTTGAAACGCAGTATGGCAGATCATGATCCCGATGATGGGCGATACTCACAAGTTCACCAGCGTAACGCAGCTTTGTCGCCATTGAAGTATCCTTGGAAAGCTGACGGGTCCACTGTGGCCGACATGAGGATGATCTTCAGATCAGCTCTGCGGTGTAAAACCCGTCGCAGCAGGGTCAGCAAAAAGTCGGTGTGTAGGTCTCGCTCGTGCACTTCGTCCACAATCACGTGGGTTGCACCTGTGTCACAGCGCTTCCCGTAGTACCAGACTCTAGCACACTGTTCAGCTGCTGCGCTGTCTGCCGACTGCCTTAAAACACTGTGCTTCGCCGGTTGGGACTAAACCCCGACTCCAGGCCAACCTCCTCAACCCAAAGGATTCTTTCGAACCGCAACCGCCGCAACCCCCAAGGCCGCAAGCCCCCATCGCCCCATGATTCCTCAACACACCTGGAATCTCTACCATGGAAAAAGTCTGTACAGAACTGATAGACCAAAGGACATCCCAAATCAAGGTTGGCACTCGCTTTTGCGCAGTGAAACGAAGTCTCCCAGGTGAGCTGCAGCTGAAGAAGGCGACAAGCCCTATGGGCGAGCAGCCAGCTGGTCTG